TTATTATTGTCATTATCATCATTATCATTATTATTATCATTCATTTTTAATTTAGTTTATTCATTTCGTTAAAAAGAACAACATAAATTTAACAACAAAAAATACAAATCAAATTAAATGAAAGGTAGAAGAAGAAGGTGTCATCATCGTCATCATCATCATCATCATCATCATCATCATCATCATCATCATCATCATTGGTTTGTTTTGATTGTTACTGGTCATCAGTTGAGTTCAGGATATCAGTTTGCAAGAACTAATTCTTTGTTTGACACATCTCAGGTGTTGCCTGGAACTTTTCCTTTAATGTTAAGTTTTACCCTCCTGACCCCGCCCTGCTGTCTGAGGATTTAACCAGGTAGGGTCACACACCTGTCAGTCAAAGCTCAACCTTCAATTTTCACCTAGTGAGGCAGGTGATGAATTCCTGTCTGAATCTTGGCAGGTACTTCCTGTGTCTTCAGCTTAGACAGGATATCATTTCTGGCCGTCTTCCTTGTTCGTTTGCGACCCACACCGTCCTTGGTTCCTACACAGTTCAATCAGAGCTTGGGGACTATGATCCAGGTACAGTAAACACTCCTAATCTACACCTGCAWGACTCAAACCTCATCAACTAACCCTGATGGAGCGCTGTTTTCTCTGACCTACCCTAACACCCTGTCTCTCTGTCCATCTGTCTTTCAGACGAATGTGGTCCAGACTATGTCAGCGAGTTGTGTTTCGCTCCAAATCAAACTAAAGAGATGGAGGCTAAGATCATGGAGTTACACACAACTCACAGGTTGTCTTTAGTTGTGTTCACCACAGGCTTCCTTCTTTTATTGTAGGGTTTAGGGTTTTACTAACAAGCTTTGTGTGTTCACCATGAGTTTTGTGTGTCCACCATGAGCTTTGTGTGTCCACCATGAGCTTTGTGTGCCCACCATGAGCTTTATGTGTCCAACTTGAGTTTTGTGTGCCCACCATGAGTTTTGTGTGTCCACCATGAGCTTTGTGTGTCCACCATGAGCTTTGTGTGTCCACCATGAGCTTTGTGTGTCCAACATGAGTTTTGTGTGTCCACCATGAGCTTTATGTGTCCACCATGAGCTTTGTGTGTCCACTGTCAGCTTTGTGTGTTCACTGTGAGCTTTATGTGTCCACCATGAGCTTTGTGTGTCCACTGTCAGCTTT